TTTGCACTCGTCTCTCTTTCCACATATCAATTATAAATACTTCGTCTACCTATAATATGCCTAAAAATGAATACTTCAACTTTATTTTTTAGTTCCATAATTAAAAATATTTTAATTTGACAGACACACCATCTACTGCTCTGTTTGTTTACTGCTACTATTACTTCCTCATAATGAGAGATTGTTGGTTAATGGTTTTGTGGGAGATTTCAAACTAGCCTATTCCATACAACAATTGAAATATATATGTTTAGACTGAGACACAGTCACATAAGCTGTGTCTAAAAACTATAAAGCGTGAACCATATCATATATATACTATAAGAAGCAAAAAAAAACTAAACTTATTCAAACATTCCTCTCATTCATCATGCTCCTTGAATATACGAACCGCGATTCAATATTTCAACACGGAAGGAACATATTAAATGCACCAGTTGCTGTTGCTTGCACCGTTTTAACTCGTTAGGAAGTTCTTTAATTTCTGTTCTTGAATCATATAACCTTTTTAAGGAAAAGTGCACGCGCTATGATCAACTTTACATTCAATTTTTATTCATCTTTTACTTCGCCTTATGCCAATTGAGTAAGTTTGTTTTCTCTCCTCTATACGTAAGTGAATTATTGTACATCCATTAACCAGTTTCCTGTTTTCTCCCGCCAGATGTGACAATTAATATATAGGAACATTGTTTTTTATTTTTAGTTTTTTCCCAGAAATAGAAACATTGTTTATTTACTTTAGTCGTCGACATACATAGATAAATTGTCTTATCCCATATAGCAGATGAGTGCTCCTGCCACCATTAAAAAGCATATATAAGAAATGGTAAAAGCTTTTGTGTTAAGTTTATAAGGTTTTCTAAATTCAAATTGTTCATTTCAATTTTTTTGGTAACGTTTCTTCATTTCAATTTGTTGTCTTTGTAGTTTGTATATATTGGAATACAAATAAAATTTTATATCGATAAAATAACATTAAATAACAATTTAAAAAACATATACATATTTCAACGATGATTGAACGATTTTTTAGATGATAATCAAAAATAAAATTACTTAGATCCAAAATGATAATATCTCATCGTTATAGAATTATTTGTGAAATAATCTTATAAAAAAATCACAAAGTTATAACAATCTGAATGGTATAGTCTAATTTCTACACTAGAGAACACATAATTAGAAATGAGAATTTTTAGTTTCTCTCTAACTAAGAAAAGTTGTTAATGAAATTGGTAAAGCCATTATAAGTTATTACTGAGTTTAATTTTTTCTGCTAAAGGTTTCAGAGAGATTAGAAAAACAAAATCTTCTTAAGGACTCAGAAGCACACGGATGCCAAATTTGGGTAACGATTCAAAGAGTACTTTCTAATTGGGGGATTTCCTTGTTCTATTCTTTCTTTTCTTTATATTGTTCTGCATCTATATGGCAAAAGCGTGCTTAATTAACGAAAAAATTAGAAAGTAATTAAAAGAAGTTTTTACGTTAAATGGGAAAACAATGTGATTTTGAAAAGAGACTGATGCAGATCCAAATATGCCGTATGGCAAACAAACGTGTGTAATTGACGTAAAAAACAAGGCTAACCGCATATTTGATTTGACGTAGCAAAGAACATGCATCAAGTTGAAGTAACTCCATATTACTTCTGCATTATTTATCTTCTTAACGTGAATCTGGATGCAGATCCAAACACACAATAAATGGTAAAAAAAAAAAAACAATATGATTTTAAAAAGAAACTAAATATTTAGTATGTTATTGGTAAAGGCAAAAAAAAACAAGTGGAAAAGGGAAAATGAAAAATATAATGCATTAATGCAATGAAGGGTTTTGTAGTGTTCACTCCTATTTGCTCGTTTTGGTGTTTGATTTGATCAATTATTCCCAAGGCATGCAGTGTTATTTATTTGCCTGCTTGAGTATTGACAACCTTATGATATAATAGACGAAATAGAGCCAATAACAAGAGTGATTTCTGGTCACTTAAGAAACTCCCCATTCAGGCATCTAGTGTTTTTGCCTTTTTGGTGTGTTTTTCTATGAGTTGAAATTTGAAGGATGGGGCAATATCCAATGATTGTAAAGTCTATCATGAGGTATGGGAATCAATCCCATATACTTCCAAATTTGAATCTCGTCTATATTAAAATAATATTTGATGAGTAAAAATTATATCTCGTAAGTGTAATTTTAAGACACTATGAATTATATTTTAAATTATATATTTTTAACTAATCTTTATATAATATGAAATTAAGTGTAATTAAATTTTTTCCATACAAAAACACTTAAAATACATATGATTAAGAATATAGACACTTATTAGTCTAAACCACTAATAATTTCTCAAAACTTGGCAAGGGAATTTCATGGCTAAAATTTCAAAGACATGGAAACGCGAGATTATTTTTCACTGTCTTTTGTTAGGCCGTTGTCAACACGTCATCCTGAGTTTCTAACTGTTGTGCATAGGAGGTTATCATACATATACACATATTTCTACATTAGTAAGATATTGTCTGCCTTGAGCCTAAAGCGGACAATATCTCACCAATGTGGAGACATGTATGTGTGATAACTCCCCTCGATGTACAACGCTAACTTACAAGACACTGGTGCACAATTATTAAGTGAGGTGAGGAAACTCTTAATTCAAGATTTTGGCATATGATGAATCCTTATGTTCAGATCCTAAGTTCAAACCTATAAAAGTCTGCAACTATGCCTATTTCCTCTCCGAAGGAAATTAAATAATTAAGAAAATGACAGTAGCATTTTCAGAACTATAACGTTTATCTTATGAAGATTAAAGATTCAGCCAAAAAAATATTGAATAAAATCCAGGCATCTGTACTTAGTAACTTCATGTTAACTCATTTTCTTATATCTTGTTTCAATTCACAGTTAAAGCATTCTCTGTTCATAGAGCAATAGAGCAGTCAGATTCGAGGGACTTAAAACTGTGTCTGGATGTTTAATTTATTATCCATCATGTTTAATTTGGTTTCTTGAAGTCTACACCAGATCTATGTGTAATAATAATATATTTTGTGGAAAATGAGATTTCATATGAGAAATTATGTTCTTATGAGAAATGAAGAAGATGAACAGAGTTGAACCAGCTGACCGGAAGACAGAAAATGTATTTCAAAATAAGGAGCTCATGCAGAACGTTATAGCATCTAAAAGGATATGAAATTTCAACTTCATTGTAGATTTGTAGTGTGCAAATTTCTTTTAAAGTACATGCAGTCAACTTGGTACCAAAATGTTCCCAACAAAATCATGGGAGATAACTCGCATCAATACAATGTATAAATTAACATTAAAAAATGGTAAGCCGGCATAATACCATACATACCGTACTAGTAAAAGAAAAACCGTAACAAATTATCATGGAGAGAGCTCTTGCACAGTGGGAAGGCTGGGATGCCATCTCAAACCCCTATATGATCTTCCCTTTGGAAGAGGTGGCGAAAAAGGCTTTTTCACTTTTATTCCTTTTCGTCTTGAATTTCTTGCCGGCTTATCCTTTGGAACATAAAAATCCTTTGCAGTGCGATGAACTTCTTCTACATACCTGTCATCCCCTCTACCTTGAGATACATTCATCTCTGCATTCTCATTGATTTTGGACTCAATGGGAGATAGAGTTATCCTTGTGTTCATCATATCCTTACATGCTACTCCTTTTGGAATACTGACTTCATCATTCTCTTTTGGTGAGTGTTCACTAGGAGACCTAATGATGTTTCCTTCCCATGTTACCACCCCATTATGCTCTTTGGTTTTAACCTGTTGAGGATGCTTACGCTTCAGCTTCTCCAAATCTCTACATGACATTATGACATACTTGTCACCAAGCAGCAAATGCTCTTCTGGCCTTAGCACTGAGTGATGAGGAGCCATGAAGACTTGTGCTCTTGCAACACACATCCCGGGATACTTTGCCATCAACATGGATGCTGGAAATGCATGATGATACACCTCTTGTTTTCCACCTTGGTGAACTATCCTCACATATAAATCCTTTGATCGCAAGCCAAAGTCAGGGGAGGTGTTGGTTCCTCTCACGTTGTTCTTTCTTCTTGGATTTTTGTCGTTGTGTTCCACTAGGCCTAAGGAGTGAACAACGCGCTTCAGCATAGCCTGCAACTAGAAGTTGTGCAATCAAAGAATGTTTCATCCTCGCCACAATGTTGGCAAGGAATGAGTGTGAGAAAGTGGAAGTGTTTAAATGATATATACTACAGGTGATTTTTGTTTCTTATGGCCAGCTGTGTATAACTTGATATTTTCAACCCATAAGAGTGATGAAAACGAGGCGTTGCACGTTCGAAATTAACTCCATGGTTTGATTCTGTGCCATTGTATCAGGAATTTACTACCATAATAAACCTAGCTACTATGATATTTTCTCGTAACATAGGTTTTAAGGAAGCACCATTTGGAAATAAATAAATAAATATCCACCGAGGGAAGAAAATGCCAAGTTTGTTTCAGGTTGTTCCACACATCTGTAATCATCAACCGATTCTGAACTGCAGGAGAGCATCCAATCTGTTTTTTAAGCAACAAAATTTCGTTGAGATATATGTGACGACAAATTAGAATTTTTCCTGCAGCCCAGCCTCAGCAGCACAAAAAACAAAATTTCGGAAGTAAATAAAATGAAGAGCCCGGCCTGCAGTCCACTAGTCCTTTTACATTAAAATATATCACAAGACGTAGCCCCATTTTTACATCATACTGTTTTCCCCCCACAGAGGACAGGATTATATGGGTGTACTAAACCTACAAAAATGAGAAAATTACATTTATACTTATTCATGTGCTATAGAGGTATTTTATATATTTATTCATATTGTGCATGTGATTGTACGTAGATTAATTGGTACCCATAAACATGAATATGTTTCCTCCATAATCTAACAGGTCTTTCTTAGCATCAGAAGTTCTTCACTCTTGGAAATGGATAAAAGCAATATTGATTAGAATTTTGAAAACTCAAATTTTATACATTCACCATGAGTATAAAGTGCCATCAATCAACATGGGCAAGGGGTATTCTTCAAAGAAAGCGTCTTCGAGTGCTAAACATTTAAATTACAGCTATAAAATGAACAGTCTATTAGGTCAATAGCAATATGACAATACATTTGACGCTTATCAGCATCTTGACTATGAATACCCCAATCGACCTAGTTTCATCTTTTGCATTTGCCTTGGAACCTGATCGTGTGAAATCTTTCTGAAGCCGCCATGCATTTTAAATCAAAACTTCTGCAGCTTCCTTCTTTGCTGAAAACTTCACCAATTTTCTTGTATAATACTGTAAATACATTGGTCAGCAACAAGAAAAAAAAAAGTTGCTGCCTCACTGTACTGCCTTTAAAAAGAAGCCAGAAGAATAGAACATCTGCTATTGAAACCCAAATCATGCCATGGCATCAGCCTGTTTTCTAGTTAACCGTGCATACAAACCATCTTTTAAGAGAAGTTCCCTGTGACTTCCCATCTGCATGGATAGAAGTAAATGAAAATTATGTTTCCAATTAGGTAAAGAAAGGATATGAAAAATGTAAGCATAGCTTTTCATTGAAACACAAAATCCAAACAATTTCAATAATGCATGGGATGAGCCTTATTCTGCTCATAAGTTCTGTGAGGGCAACTTGAGGTGAAATTTATCTGCAATTTATTGAACAATTGCATAAAAATAAAAATAAAAGGGCAATCCACCCCACGAGGCTCCCACCAAGTGGGGCCTAAGAACTAAGAAGGGTAGATATATGAAGTCTTATCCCCAGTGAGCAGAGACTGTTTCCAGGACTTCATGTGACATCTAGATCACAAGGTAAATGACCTTACCCGTGCACAGAGGCTCACCCTTAACCAAATAAAAATATGGCAACCATTACTGTCTTCATGGTCCTCTCCTAAGCTATATCCATCGAGATACAGAAGAAGAGTTTGAGGAGTAAAATTAATTAACACATAACATGTATAAACTTCTAAACCCAACTTTTCATGAGTTTTACACTGATAATGAAGCCAGGACAAATAAAGGCTGATGAAAAATTTAAGGATAAGCTTCAAAAAGGAATATTGATATGAATATTTAGGGCATTCAAAATGAAACAACAGTTTACCAACCTCTACAATTTGACCACCATCCATCACCACAATCCTGTCAGCTGCTTGTATGGTAGAAAGCCTGTGTGCAATGACTATGACGCTTCTGGATGCAGAATCACTTCTAACAGATCTCAGAACACCCTACATATTATGGAAACTGAAGCATCAATATCTTTGCTTAATTTTTCTTACACTTGACATTTAGTGTGTCTAATTGCCATCTGGCTTCTAGTAGTTTCAGAGGCAGACCTTGACATTATGCTCACTTTCAGCATCTAGCGCACTAGTGGCTTCATCAAGGATCAATATTTTCGGGTCCCTAAGAATGGCCCTAGCAATAGCAATTCGCTGCTTTTGTCCTCCACTTAACAGATCATCATCAACAAGTGTTTCATAACCATTGGGAAGTGCTGAGATAAAGTCATGGGCATAGGCCTGCTTTGCAGCCCACTCAATATCCTCCTGTTTTACATCTCGAGTACATCCATATCTGATGTTTGAGCTAATATCCATCCGGAAGAGCTTGGGTTCCTGTTCAAACAAATTTTTGTTTAGAAGAGCTATATATAATATATTCACTGAATTTTGTCTATGTTGGTGGCTTAAGAACCTGGCCCACAAATCCAATTCTCTCTCTCCACCACTTGATGTCCAAGTCTTTAATAGGGATATCATCTATCAAAATCTGCAACAAAACTCTAATCAAAAGGTACTACATATATATATATACTATTACGTGAAAGGAACCTCTAATCAATATCTGCAGTTTAGAAAAAAGATTATTCAAGGTTATTATGTCCACATTATTGGGATAGGAAATTAAAATATAATCTACCGAAGTTATTTTTTGGGTGAAAGTAATGCAATCAAGCAAGAGAAATGTGATAACTTGCTAGTAAGAAATATAGAATCTAAGGTCTAAGAACCAAGATTAAAAGCCCATGATACCCTCTATCCATTCCTAGAAAGCAGGAAACAAAAAACATTTGCTCTTTTGATCTTTTTGTTCCAACTCTACAGGTTTATCCAATTATATCAAGTGAATTATGTAATAGCAGAGAAGATGGTCATTTTACTAAGGTAGAAAGACAAATTCATTTTAGTCACTTGAATCAAGGTTGTCAATCTCGAGAGTTTACGTAATCTCATGGAGGTTCCGTAAACTCGTACCATAAACTCGTAAGAGATTACTCAATAAAAAAAAATATAAAAATAATTAAAAATAACATAATAATTGAACATTTTAACTCCATATTAAAGAGTAAAATAGCAAATTACATTAATAATAAAATGCTAAAGTTCTTAACAAACTCGCAGAGAAGCAGAGTCGCGAAGAAGCAGACTCGTGAAGCCGCGCGACTCGCGGAGGAGAAGACAGGCTCATGGAGGAGAATGGTGGTTCGTGCACAAAGGAAAAGATGATTCATGCAAAGGAGAGTGGTCGTTCGCAAAGGAGAACGACAAAGGTGAAGTGGTTCGCGCCTTCACCGAAGGAGAATGGTCATTCGCAAAAGAGAATGACAGAGGCGAAGTGGTTTGCACCTTCACCGGAGGAGAACGCAAGGGTCGCACGGCGGTTTGCCTTTGTCAGGGAGAAGACAGCGTCACAGCGGAGCCGCGGAGGAGATCTTTGCTAATAGGGGAGAGTGAAATGAAAGTCTCATTTCAGCCCTAACCCAAAACGAACATTTTGTGGAGAACAAAAAAAAATGTGATCTGTTAAACTCGAGATTGATCTCGCGATATTACACGAGATCACCAAGATTACTCAAAAACGAGTTTACTCCCGAGTTATACAGGTAAGCTGTCCTAATCTCATAAACTCGTACGAGTTTACGAGTTATCACTAGAGATTGACAACCATGACTTGAATAGATGTAGCAAAAACAAAATAGTCCACCCTCCACCTCCAGAGAAGATGGTCTTTTTTTTTCATAGCTTTTTCTTGTAAATTCAATATTTTTTTAAACCATACCAATTGAGTCCACTCTATTTTGATGAGATAAAATAACTCTACCTGACCATTTGTAGGCTCATAGAGACGGAGCAAGAGATTCACCAATGTGCTTTTTCCACTACCACTAAGTCCAACCTATGCCACCCAAATCAAAAGAAACAGCAGATTATTCTCATGTCCACAGTGCAGGGAAGGAATTAATTGAGGAGATTAGAAGCAGTTTCTTACTATTGCAACCACCTCGCTTGGATGGACAACAAAGTTTACATGTTGCACTACGGATACCTGTTACAATATCCGGCATTACTTAAGCCAGTAAAACATATAATCTTAACCCCATGTACATGGACAATCAAATTGAATATACTGGAGATTAAAATAAAGAATTTTTTAGTTTTATTTTATTTCCATTAGCATCAATTGTTTCTACATTTCCTTAAGTGCACGTAAGACACTATACAACTTCACTGCATATCTCCCCACACAACTTACACTACCAAAAAGAGAAAAATGTATGCACCTATTTTTTTAGCAGAGGGTGATGCTAAAAATCTCAACAATGAACTTTCCTTCACTGAAGTGATGGAGGAACAAAAACAGTATCTGATATACAAGCTCAACTGTAAAACAAAGTGAAGGTCTTAGAAATAGAGGTCTACCGTCGGCCTTGAAGGATAGTGAAAAGATACATTTAGAAACTCGATACGCCCTGTTAACATCTGCAACTTTATCCCTGTGACAAATTTACACCCAATCTTCAATATAGTAGAATTAAAACAAGGACAAAAAGTTAAGCAGGAATTCATCATGTTTTTCATGAGTTTTTCTTTTCTCTTATTTATTTATTGATATAATACAGTTGGAAGAGGAGTGAGAATAGACGCAGATACTGGAGTTGCAAACCATAGGGACACCAAGCACTAGCTAAAAAGCATTACTATTATCACAAAATTAATAATAAATTGAAAGCTGCACATGACATAAGTGCAGGAGTCAGCTTCTGACAACTATAGCAAGCATCTAAAGTTTTAAAACAACTATAGTTAACTGAACACATACAAGTAAACTACACAGTTTATTTAATACATAGTTTAAGAAAATTATAATTTATCCCAGATAATTCGCAGGAAAATATTCATGCTCAATCTGGAGGAGTACAGGTAAACTAAGAATTTAATATTCAGGTGATGCCTTGACAAAATTGAAAGATGCATGAAAAGGATTAAACTCATACGAAGTTGTTTATTCGTATGAAATATTTGAGCAAAAAAACACTTGCCTCTTTCTATGAATTGGCTGCTAGGTAAGAGATCCATTAAGTGGAAAACTTTTTCACTAGCCCCAACTGATTGCATCAAATTGGATACATTGTCTCCCACCCACCAGGTTGAATAAATTAACCATTCACTGTATAGTATAAACTTGGTAAGTTTCTCAGCTGTGATATGACCCGCAAGAATAGACATTCCTCCAAATAGCACAGCGATAACCTAAAAGATTTTATGTTTCAATAAAAGCACAAGTCAATTAGAAGGGTTTAAATAAACTTCTTAAAAATTATTGATTACTAATTCTAATAAACTATTTTCTAACAGTAAGATTACAGAAGAAAAGGGAATTAAATAAATAAAATTAGATAAATGTCATGATTTTAGAAACCCATAGCTATACCTGAGTTGAATGATAAAGAGTGTTAAAGCTAAAATTCCAAATCCCATACGCAGCACTTTGTCGCAAGCTTATGTCAGCTAATTTCCCCAGCCACCAATTATACCTGGTAATAGAAATGGACAAGATGCATGTGAAGACAGCAAAGTAACATGATTGAAAAAATAATATGATATAATTGAAATGGCATCATCACCTTCCATGTTCTTCTTTTTCTGTTCCATAAACTCGTACAGTTCTAATAAGAGAGAATGTCTCTTGAGCTACCTATGAGAAAATTGTAATTACAAATAGAATTTATGAAACATAAACCAAATTATAGTATAAGGCATCTTATTCTACATCATTTGCAGAAGCAGTGACTTCTTGGACCAATCTTGCTGCCTTTTTCTGGTACCTATGCAGAAATATATGACCAAATCAACACCCATGAGATAAAGGAGACAAACAAGGAAAGAGGTAGAAGCCTAGAAGGGAATTCAAAACAACAAAATTTATTTTTTACAAATATATAAATATCTCAATAACACCATTGTATTGTAGAAGACAAAGTTTTGGGGAGAAGGAAGAGAGTCCTTTAGCTTTTACAGAGTAACACATTTTCTAGAAATGAGAATCATTTAGAGTCTACTACATGAATTAATTAAGAACAAGTCAACATGATTAGCATTGATGCACATTTTGGTTGGTATTTTCATCACCAGACATGCTGCCTCAACTAGTAATTGCAACCACAGAAGCACTAGAAAATAGAATCACAAAATCATGTTTTTGAAAGGATGAACTTGAAGAAAAGTTTACCTTCCATAACGTAACATAACTGCTGCTAATATGGAGCATATCACTAATGTACATACACCAAGTGGCCAAGATAAAATCAACAAGTAGATTAATGAACCTCCCCCCTAAAAAGATGAGAAAACCCAATTAAAACCTCCAATATGTGAGCTGACTTCTAGTAGCATTACATCTTTATTAATTAAATCAACCTGAAGAACGTTGCGCAATATCAAGTTAAGATCATTTCCAATAACCCTTGACACTTGTTGACAATCCGCCCCAAGCCTACTTGTTAAATCACCTACTGTTTCATTGTCAAAAAATGATATATCCTACAATAAGGGCACTGCAAAATGAGTTAAATCACACACTAAACAAAGGAAACAAATGAATCCAGAAAGAGAGATCAGTTATTAAGTGCAGCCAAACCTGCAGAAGAAGTGAAGAGTATAATGTTTCTCTCATTCTCTTAACCTGCACATATTTTCAAAGTTTGAAAAATCATATACACCAAAGAGTTGAAGAAAACACAAAGTCAAAGAATCAGGAAAGGGGGGTCGCAAAATGGCCATTTTCAAGTACATTGGTCTAAATTTGATAACTACAGCTCTTATTCCATTATGGACTATTGAATAATTTACACAAACCATAGAAATCCCCACCCCCAACTATACGACAGAGAAACTCACCAGAATCATGTTTGCAATGCCAAAACAGCAACCTCGTATCCCACTGAAGCACAGAAAAATGCTTGTTAGGAATCCTCAAATCTCACCCACAACATAAACATTTTAAAATGAGACAGAACCAAGAGTATCATTGATCATGCCAAATAAAGAAGGTTTAAATTTAATATATTTAACAATATCATCTGGGCCATGAAGCTATGAATCTGTTTGAATACAAATTTAGAAGCCCCTTTGAGAGCTTCTCTATTGGAAAATATTCTTTATTTCCAGTAGAGAAACTCTCAAAAATGCTTCTAATTTGGATCAAAACGGACTCTATAACTGATAGTTTCTTAGGACTAGTTGGAATAAGCTTCTCCAAATTCTTTTTTTTTAATTTATGTATAAGCTTATAGAGAAACTTATTTCATTTTTTCTCCAAATTTTCGAAGAAATTTATCCGAACTAACTCTTAGTAAAAGTGAAAAACCACATCTGGGATGTGGAACCAAACGCGCTACAAGTCAAACATCAGCTCTCTGATCGGTAATCGGCATCCATAAACAGCTCTCGTCAGAATCTTATAAGTCGTAACACAGAAAGTAGTATAGTGCTGCTAAATGGATTAGAGAGCAAATCCAAGGCGTTTTTTACGGAAGTTTCTTCCAGCAACATCACTTAAGAACCAAAAGAATTAAAAAGCACAACACAACACAAGACTGACAGCAAGTAGAAGGGAGATTTGACCATACAAGATTTTGACCTGCATATTCCGGAAGTCACGCACAGCAGAACCAACAAGCGCACATTCCGATGAAAAACAGCAAGGTCCGCACCCTGTGCGGAGAAGATGGACGCCGTCAAGAAATGCGGTATGGAAATCTCGGAAACCTGAAAAGCTCACAGAACTGAATCCAACAAAACCAGCAAAGTAAACATACAAAAAGAAAAGCTTTAAAAAAAAAGGCGACGCACTGCAGCAACAATGAGAGCAGAGAAAGCAGCGAAAATGACCCATCTGTCACGCGCGACAAGGTCCCACATTTTGGCGAGGGCGCGCCACACGGTGACGGGCTGCGCCACCAGCTGAACCTGGAGGCCGTCGGAGAAGTCCCACCAGGTACCGCCGGGGAGAATCTCCGGAAGAAATCGGAGGCATTTGCGAAGCCTCTGGAGAAGGTCTGGAGCGTGGACTCGGTCGGCGGAAGCTTGTGGATTGTTCTGAACGGAGATGCCGTTGATGGAGGCGCAGTTGGGGGGCGGGGCGGCGAGAATGCGGCGAGAAGCGAAAGCGGGAGTGAGGAGAGGAATTGGCGTTGCGGCGAGTGGGAAGCGGTTGTGAGAGAGGGAGATTAGAGGGATTGGGGGTGGCGCACGTGCGAGCAGAAGAGGCATGGTGGTGGAGGAAGACGATGGGATTGGGGTTGGATAATGCTATGAGGTTGAGAAGATGCAGTTGTGGTCCATGTGTGTCGGAGAAGGAAAAAGAGGGAAACAAAACAGATGGTTGCGGTTCGTTTAAGCTTCTCACTTCAACATGTTGTTGTTGTTGCTTAATGCTTGCTGTGTCTTACCTTACCACAAACGACGCCGTTTTTCATCCCTCTAAAACGCCATGTTGTTCACATTGCATCTATACCGCTTTTAACTATACTACTTTTCCTTTACACTCGTGCAACGCAAGGAACATTTTAATTTATTTAAGTTTTTATTCAAATATTATTTATTTATTTCTTATAATTTTATTTTTTTTTTAGTATCTAAATTAAAATTTCATTTATTTAAATTTTTATACAAGCATTTTTTTTTATATTTCAACCAATGTTTTACTTTTAGTCCTCGTAATTACATTATTTTTGTATTTTGGTTCTTATATATACAAAATTTACTTTTAGTTCCTACACTTAAAAATTAATTTATATTTTAGTCTTTGTCAACATTTATTCTATATCTTCCTTCTTCTTACCTCCCCTATCTTTGTTCCTTCTTTTCTTTCTTCACATCAACAACTATTTCCTCTTTTTAGTGAGTAGGTTTTGTTCCTTTTAAATTTTCTTAATTCAATTAAATTTTATTAACCCTAAATTAAAGATTCTTAAAGTTGTATAATTTTATCGGTAGAGATGAGATAACTTGCAACTATCAATTTATATTTATACTTTTTTGATGACAAAGGCTGGTCATATCATTTTAATCTTACTATATACAGTACCTAGAAATATGAAAGTCTATATTTAATTCATTTTCTACATAAAGTAATGATTCTATCACACATTATTTTCAAAAATCGCCCCCAAGAAATAATACATGGTTGAAGCAATTTTTGTTCTTCAAATTTTTAGGTGTCAAAATTTTTGGACAGCTTTATAGCACTACTTTCATTGATTTTTTTAGTGCTAGATACATAGATATAACATAGTTACATGATAATTATGATGAAAATAAGATAAGTTGAGTTTGATCGGAGTAGGTTTGTGTCCAATCTTAATTAAAAATATATAACTTGATTTTAGAATATAGGATTTTAACTTGTTTACTTGTCATGGGTTTTTTTTTTTAAAGATTTGCCATGACCTACACAAAAACTTGGTTTAATTTGTTAATCTATTTATGAACCAACTTTATAATAATTTAACACTAATATAAAACGTAAAAAATAAAATACGCTAGATTTTACAAAATCAAGTCAAACTTATTTATATGATATAAGCACATATTTTATGTCTAATATAACATTCATGAAGATAATTTGGTTAAAAACTTATTTTGTAACATAGTCTTTAAATAGGAAAAAAAATCAATGAACTTCTTTTTTATATAAGTCAATAAAGTTTTTTTTTTCTTTTGACAGCACATGCTTAATATTTTTAAAGATAAACAAATATATTATTTTTTATTTTATATGAAGGTTTTCTTGTCATCGAGTTAGCTCTTATAGGAGTAAAGTGATACCTCTAGTTATTACTCAGTGTCCAAGTTAGAGATTTTAAACTTCAATCTTTGATTAAAGAATATAAGTGTTAAACTATTTGAACAAACAAACCTTTGTTAAATAAATGCATGATTTTAATACATTGTAACAAAATTGATATAATAATAATTTATCTTTTTTTAATTTAAATTTTTTGGTTTGTTAGGTCTAATAGATTTTTTAAATGACTTAAAGCTTGACATTTTTAACTAAATAAACTTTAATAAAAAGTCTTGATCCAATCTAATTTTGGAAAAATCTTACCTTATTTAAGCATGATCTAGACTACATTAGTAACCTCATCGCTCTAACCTAATTTAGGGTTTAGGGTTTAGGGTTTAGGGTTTAGGGTTTCATCCCTAACCTAGTTTCATCCCTAATGATAATTGATGATAAAAATAAAAAATATAAAACAAAAGTTACTCTTACAGCAATGATATAATATCCAAAACTTGATGTAGCACCATTAAAATGATACAATAAGGATTTGATACATCATATTTTAAAAGGGTTTATTTCACAAGACAGTAAATCAAAAGTGTTGTTTGATTTTTTTTATTTATAAAAACTAGTTTAAAATATCTTTTGTATTAATTTTTTTATAAAAATATATTTAATTAAAATTATTTACCTTAATTTATTAAGTAGTTGGTAGAGTAAAAATCCATTAATATTAAGATAGTATTGGAAAAAAATATATATAGGTTTAACACAATTTAATCCCAACAACTAAATTAATCAACCTTTTTAATTCTAATAATTAGGTAATTGACTATTATAAACATATTAAAAATTGTAATAAAGGAGCCTTTCATTTATGTTTTTTTATTAAAGACTTTATTATTGGCTATCATTTACATGTCAAAATAATTGTATCAAATTATTAAAAGATAATTTTTTAATAAAATAATATATATATATATATATAAGTATACAATATGGACAAAGGTTCGGTTTGATATCGGTTGTAAATTGTAGATCCATAATATTTTTTTAATTTTTTCGCAAGATAAGCCTACATTTGTTTCGTAATTGTATTTGAACAGTTCAAATTAAATTTAAATTCAAAATCTAATATTTTGTCATCGCTACATAGTTATACCAATATTTAATTCTTTATTTTAAATAAATAATATAAGGAAATGGTTAAGAATTAAAAAAGTTTTATTAATATACTATCATTGTACTTTTATATAAGTTTTTATTTATGAACTTGTTTACTAATATGAAAACATTTATCTTGTACACATATTATTTATTATTTTATCACATCTTGTACACATATTATTTATTATTTTATCACATCTGGTATTATCTTAATTTTGAATCATTTATTATTAATAAAAGAAGGTTGGGCTAGACAAATGTCAAGCGATCTTTCTTATATATATCTATATTCACTTTTAGTTTTGAATTTCAAATTTCAAATTCTGAATTCTTAAATATATACCCTCTATCTTTTTCCTCCACTTTTACCTCCCTTCATCTACCCTCTACCCTCTACAACTACTTTTGCCTTCTCCTACCTCTTCCCCTTTGCCTATATCTCCCTTCCTCCATGCTTTTACTTTTCACGTATTTCTTTGTTCTTCTTTTCTATATAAAAAAAAATTCCTTTGTCTAATCCTCTTTGCACCTTACATTTTTTTTTTGCAAAATAATTGAACCCGAGACATTTTTCATTTTCTTCACCAATTTGACTAAGCCTTAGTACGTGGGTTTCAATATTACACCCTATTACGACGACTATTTCACAAGACTATACCGTTAAGGGTTGTGTTACATAAGATAAAGAAAGTCAAGATTCTTAGTGATTTTTGCAGTGGTCACTTACCCCTTCTCCATTTTTTGCTAATACTAACAAAAAAAATTTCTTCAATTCTCCCAACACCTTCCCTTTCTCTGGGGTTAGGGTTTTAATATAACTCAAAGAACATGAAACACAAAAAGTCAAGACCTTTAGAGATGTTTGCACTGTTCGATTACCCGTTTCTCTATATTTTTGCTAATAATGAGATGGTTCATCTTCTCTTTTCCATTCCTCTTTTTATGTTGGATGATTGGATCTCCATTTTGTAATACCTTTGTTCTCTTCATTTTTTTTTGTTTCTAGTTAGATTTTTACTAGCTTTTAACTAATTGGAGAAACTAGATTGAATGATATATTTAGCAATATCTTGTGAGATATCTATGTTTGAAATGAGCATTAGTAAAGTTATCATCATAAATATCGTTTGGAAGTCAAAGTTTTAAAAACATAAAATTGGGCTAAATGCTTTGTTTAGCAATATTTTGTGAAACATCTTATGTTTAAAATGAATATTAGTAAATTTATCCTCATAAGTATGGTTTGGAAACTAAAGTTTTAAAAACTTTAAACTCTAATAGGTGATTTGTCTTTAGCATTTGACTAAATCGCAACTTTAATTTCGATCGACACTTTATAGTGAAGTCTAATAATCAAGTTATTGGGTTTATAGTGCCCCTATAGTCATTATTCCTTTTCTCACACATCCATTTTTAAATTTTTTTTTTTTTACTATCTTAACATATGTTTCTCCTTCGTAATATTGTTTATATTTCTTCAATGACAATGATAATTTATTTACACTCTTTTAAAACTCTTATTTAATTTAAGAAAGTTGTTTTTGTTATATATGTAAATGGTTAGTCACAATTATCATATATATTTTTCTCTTCACTTCATTAGATTCATTAACATTAATTTTGTTTTCAGACACTTTTCAGTATTTCAATTTGTAATTTTTGACTAGCATAAATAGTGGCGTGATATGCTAAAACATGTGATGAAGAATTTCATACGAAAGCTTAACCTAAAAAAAATACATATTTCAGATAATGAACATATGTAAATCATGTATAACTACATATAACTGTATATGACTAATGTCTTTTAGTTATAAAAAAATTTGTGTGATAAAAAAATAGTTTATTATATTATTATTACAATTTAGAGTTTAAAATAAAAATAAAAAACTAACATAAGATAGACAACTCACACACTTATATACATCAATATACACTTTCACATTGTGTAATGAAAGAAGATAATCTTATCAAAGATAAAAAGAAGCTTTATAAATAATTAATTATGGATATGAAAGAAAAGAGTAGACAAATATGCGGATATTGAATCTTCTATTTTTTCATATCAACAGAGAATATAAAAAGTTTAAGTGTAGTAAAAATGTCAAAAAAATATTGATAATTTGATGTTTTGTATTATAAATTTATTTATTTAGTTATATTGTTAATAATGTAATATATATATATATATATATTAATTTTTATTATATTATATAAATAAATAAATAGATTGACATGTTCGATTAACAAAAGTTTTTTTTTTATAAGTCTAATCTTAACTTTTCACTTTCAACCATATTTTTTTCTATATACAATACTCAAATTTGAGACTTTGTTTAAAGAGACCTAGATCAATATCACTCACATCAACAACATGTTGATTTGAAAAGTATATATTAATATTAAATTCTTAATTTTTAATAAAAATGCAAGAAAATATTGAAGATTAAAGAAAGTGTTATCAATATAGTGTCATCATAATTTAAAATAAAATTTTTATTTATAGGCTTGTTTACTAATACGACAACATTTATCTCGTATATGGATTATCCATTATATTATCACGTCTTGCTTTCTTTATTTTGAATTTAAGAGACAAAATTACTTGCAAGCAAGCCCCTTGAGCAGTATAGTGATAGCAGAGACAAAATTACGTGCACACAATGGTGTTTTCCTCCAAAACTCTTCAACAACGATAAACATCATTCAGCAGTACACGTTACCCGCAATCAATTCACCAACTTTCCACTTACGGGCCCTCTCTAAAGTCATGAATAGTCCTTATATCACACAATCGCAATTGGGCTGGCCCAAGCGAAAAGATGTAGGAGAAAGCCCAGTCGCCCATAACAAAAGCCCAACTAACGCCAAACCCTAAGCGAACTCAATAAATTACAAATCCCAGCAAACCCTAATCGGTAACGCGGAAGTGACAGAGAGCAGAAGAGCGATGACGACGCGATTCAAGAAGAACAGGAAGAAGCGCGGGCACGTGAGCGCCGGCCACGGCCGTATCGGAAAACACCGCAAGCATCCCGGCGGTCGCGGAAACGCCGGCGGCATGCACCACCACCGGATCCTGTTCGACAAGTACCATCCCGGTTACTTCGGGAAGGTGGGTATGCGGTACTTCCACAAGCTCCGCAACAAGTTCCATTGCCCCATCGTCAACATCGACAAGCTCTGGTCGCTGCTGCCACAGGAGGCTAAGGACAAAGCCCTCAAATCCAAGGACGCCGCTCCTTTAATCGACGTGACACAGCACGGTTACTTCAAGGTTCTCGGAAAAGGTGTGCTCCCCCTTAATCAACCCATCGTCGTCAAGGCCAAGCTCGTTTCCAAGATCGCCGAGAAGAAGATTAAGGAAGCCGGTGGCGCTGTTCTTCTCACCGCTTAGGTTTAATTACTTTTGCTTTTCGTTTCATACATTTGAGGCGTCGTTTTTTGTTTTGTTTTGTTTCGGGTACTTTTTTACATTACATGTTGCAGCTTATATTGATAATATGTGTTTTTGCATTTTTAGTGTCTTGTTTTGGATGGATTTAGGTTAATTAATTAAATATTTATGCGAAAAAATTAAGCCCGTGGAAACTTTGTTTTAATAAGTTGTTATAGAAGAAATTATTGGAGGAAAAATAAATTTTGGGGAATGATGAATTATATTTTAATCAGTCCTTAGAGGAACCATTTTTTGTTAACTAGTCTTGGCGATTGTACAATGTTGGTGACTGTGTTCTTCGAAAGTAATGAGTGACGTTATGTTGTGTGATTGAGGGCGTTTGGTTGATTGCCTCTGTTTTCCGCTATGAAAGTCTCATTGTTGCTGCACTTATGAATTTGTATCAATGTGTCTAAGACATAGCTTGTGATTCAATGTTATGAATTGATTATTATTGGAAGCAAATAGTGGCAGATTGGCTCTGCTTGGCGCTGATTTTTGCCTTGTTTGTAATGTTCAACATTAAGAAGGATTAGTGTTGAACTTGCAAAGTGAAAATGGTGGATTCCTTTTAAGGACTAAATCATATCATTTTACTATGTGGATTTGTCGGGTGTTAGTTTAGTCACTCCATAAAAAATTAATGGTGTCTTTAGTAGGAACTAAAGAAATTAGTGAAAAATAGCTTGTTATTTGAAACCATCTATTAAGCTTAAAATAAATAAATGTTGACAATTTTTTTTTCAATATAATATAATCTCTTGGTTGCCAATGGACGTAGGCCAAATTAACTGAATAGGGTAATTTGTTTGTATTTCTTTTCATTTTAATTTCATTCATTTATCTTTTGTCCATGCCAAGACAACATTACATCAAAGGGACATCCCTGCGCTTATAAACTTTTTGATGAGTAGAGAAAAAGGGGGGAGAAAGAAGGGTAAAATCCAATCACAAGCCAAAAGATATTATGAAAACCAGTATTAGTCACCAATCTTACTTTTCGAAAACACATAAAAAGCTCGTGATGTCCTGAATTCAAATACAGTACTTGGCCTAGTTATCCTACTGCAATTTCATGGTGCTTTATTTTCTTTGTCATTCACTGGCCTGGTGTCCTCCCCAAGTCTTTATCTTATCTTTGGCGAGGGAGGTCTGCGATTATGTCTTAGTCGTCATGTAATTATTTATGTATGCTCCAAGGCAAACATTAACTTAAAGTTGTTTATATACATGAAATGAAAATATTGAATAATATACCCTACCTCTTTGTTCTAGTTAGTTTTGTAAATCATGGCCAAAAGAACGCACTTTTGCAGTATAGTCCAGGACACCATTCCAATCCAAATTCCCTGAATTAAAACAATTATATGATGTTTGGATTAAGAATAAAACAGAGAATAAAAAATATATCGTTTATATAGATAAAAATAAAATAAAATCTTTTTCTCAGATGAAAGAAAGAACCTCTAGGTTGAATGTTCGGTCTATAATATCAAACTGACAACATACTTTTGATATATATATATATATATATAACATCTTTTAAGAATTAGATTCAATTTATTATATTTTTTCAAGGACTAATTTAATACTTTTTAAAGGGCCAAAAGTAAATTTGAAACTTTATAGGAATTAAAAATAAATTTTCATTTGTTATATGTATTTCTATTTAAGACACATTATTGGCGAGGTTACTATAAAGATTGATCTTGATATGTTATGATTTTAGAAGAAATAAATTAATAAATAAAATAAATGACCATTGTTTTAGAGGGATTATAAGTAATTTTCTTTTATTCATTATTCTCTGACAAACAATGTGAATGAAACTCTACCGCCTTCAGAAGAACGTATTAGATTTTACATTTTTTTAAGATTGTTAAATTTTACATGGTTTTTATACTTGGTCACACTTTAAAAAATTTATAGCCAGTTCGTGTGGTAAGTATTTATTATTATTTTTAATTATATCAATGGTACAGAGCATTCACTAATTAATTTTTATTAGAAAATTTAGATAATCATTTTTAGTAAAGTCTCTTTTTTTATAATTACATTTTTTTCATACACAAAATTTAAAATTGATATCTAAGAGAATCAAATTTAGTAGCCTTGAAGCAGTTTTCTTTCAAAAGAAAAAACAAAAGTTAGCTTATTTTCTGCCTTTCCATTCATTACTTATTTCCTTCACGAGGTTCTATTGACCGTTTGTTAAGGTCAGCCTACTCTAGTTCACCTCTTTTTTAGGTGTAAATATATTATATTATTATGACTCAAGTAAATATGCCTGTCTTAAGATTAAACAAAAAATGGATATCCATTGAATAATATAGGAATAAAGTCAAATAGGCTCTAGTCTGGTGACCTAATGGGCGAGAAAGATATAGAAAGAGGGAAAGTACAAATTATATGCTTGTATGAAATCACGATAAAACCCTAGGCCTAGGCCTGTATGCATCACATGGGCTTTTCAGCCTATATAAATAAAAATACCTAAAATACTTTTTTAAAAAAAATATTTATCGAAATAAATAATTTTTATCACGTATGATTTTTTGAAGTGAAAACGCATAGAAGTGTGCGGTTCAAAAAATTTTGAACAAAAAACACACATCTAAGCAAATTTTAAATTAAAAACGCATACATCTTATGCGTTTTCAGTGTAAATTTTTTTAAATAGAAAATGCACACCCTTTAACAATTTCTGTTTGAGAATTTTTTGAAATTAATTTTTTTTAACTTAAATGATATTTATTTTTATTATTTTATTATATATTTGTTTTTCATTTTATTTTATTATATATTTATTTTTGTTTTTTTTATGTATTTTGCTGAAACATGTAATATTTTTGTTATTGAAGAATAAAATTTAAAATGTTTGGTTTTATGAGAATAATATTTTTGTTGGTTCATTTCACATACCTATATTTGTCTCTTTCAAATATAATTGACAAACCTTCTATAATGAATTTCACAATAGATTTTGGAATTGTTTATAACAATGTGGAGATTATTCAAATAGAGGTCGATATTGACTATGTTATGAATGAAAATCAACATGGAAAATTAATCAAGTTACGGGGTGACATGACACTTCATGAGTTGTGGCATGGTATACAACGAAGGATAATCAAAGTTGATTGCAAAGTTTATGAAATTTATTATCAATGTCTTGTATCAATTAAAAATGGTTGCTACCAATATACACCATTTAAGTTAATTCAAGATGACGACATCCAATCTATGTTCAATAGTTTTGCTCAAGATCCAAAGTTGTTAGTTATTGCTATTTTTGTAGTTATCACTACAAGAAAAATGATTATTATCTACGGAATATTATCTACGGAATTTTTTCCATAGATAATGTTTAGTTATCTACGGAATATTATCTACGGAATTTTTTCCGTAGATAATTTTTAGTTATCTACGGAATTATTTCCGTAGATAATATTTAGTTATCTAGGAAAATTTCCGTAGATAACTTATCTACGGATTTTTCCGTAGATAATTTTTAGTTATCTACGGAATATTATCTACGGAAATAATTCCGTAGATAACGTTATCTACGGAACATTATCTACGGAATTTTTTCCATAGATAATGTTTAGTTATCTTCGGAATATTATCTACGGAAATAATTCCGTAGATAACGTTATCTACGGAACATTATCTACGGAATTTTTTCCATAGATAATGTTTAGTTATCTTCGGAATATTATCTACGGAAATAATTCCGTAGATAACGTTATCTACGGAACATTATCTACGGAATTTTTTCCATAGATAATGTTTAGTTATCTTCGGAATATTATCTACGGAAATAATTCCGTAGATAACGTTATCTACGGAACATTATCTACGGAATTTTTTCCATAGATAATGTTTAGTTATCTTCGGAATATTATCTACGGAAATAATTCCGTAGATAACGTTATCTACGGAACATTATCTACGGAATTTTTTCCATAGATAATGTTTAGTTATCTTCGGAATATTATCTACGGAAATAATTCCGTAGATAACGTTATCTACGGAACATTATCTACGGAATTTTTTCCATAGATAATGTTTAGTTATCTTCGGAATATTATCTACGGAAATAATTCCGTAGATAACGTTATCTACGGAACATTATCTACGGAATTTTTTCCATAGATAATGTTTAGTTATCTTCGGAATATTATCTACGGAAATAATTCCGTAGATAACGTTATCTACGGAACATTATCTACGGAATTTTTTCCATAGATAATGTTTAGTTATCTTCGGAATATTATCTACGGAAATAATTCCGTAGATAACGTTATCTACGGAACATTATCTACGGAATTTTTTCCATAGATAATGTTTAGTTATCTTCGGAATATTATCTACGGAAATAATTCCGTAGATAACGTTATCTACGGAACATTATCTACGGAATTTTTTCCATAGATAATGTTTAGTTATCTTCGGAATATTATCTACGGAAATAATTCCGTAGATAACGTTATCTACGGAACATTATCTACGGAATTTTTTCCATAGATAATGTTTAGTTATCTTCGGAATATTATCTACGGAAATAATTCCGTAGATAACGTTATCTACGGAACATTATCTACGGAATTTTTTCCATAGATAATGTTTAGTTATCTTCGGAATATTATCTACGGAAATAATTCCGTAGATAACGTTATCTACGGAACATTATCTACGGAATTTTTTCCATAGATAATGTTTAGTTATCTTCGGAATATTATCTACGGAAATAATTCCGTAGATAACGTTATCTACGGAACATTATCTACGGAATTTTTTCCATAGATAATGTTTAGTTATCTTCGGAATATTATCTACGGAAATAATTCCGTAGATAACGTTATCTACGGAACATTATCTACGGAATTTTTTCCATAGATAATGTTTAGTTATCTTCGGAATATTATCTACGGAAATAATTCCGTAGATAACGTTATCTACGGAACATTATCTACGGAATTTTTTCCATAGATAATGTTTAGTTATCTTCGGAATATTATCTACGGAAATAATTCCGTAGATAACGTTATCTACGGAACATTATCTACGGAATTTTTTCCATAGATAATGTTTAGTTATCTTCGGAATATTATCTACGGAAATAATTCCGTAGATAACGTTATCTACGGAACATTATCTACGGAATTTTTTCCATAGATAATGTTTAGTTATCTTCGGAATATTATCTACGGAAATAATTCCGTAGATAACGTTATCTACGGAACATTATCTACGGAATTTTTTCCATAGATAATGTTTAGTTATCTTCGGAATATTATCTACGGAAATAATTCCGTAGATAACGTTATCTACGGAACATTATCTACGGAATTTTTTCCATAGATAATGTTTAGTTATCTTCGGAATATTATCTACGGAAATAATTCCGTAGATAACGTTATCTACGGAACATTATCTACGGAATTTTTTCCATAGATAATGTTTAGTTATCTTCGGAATATTATCTACGGAAATAATTCCGTAGATAACGTTATCTACGGAACATTATCTACGGAATTTTTTCCATAGATAATGTTTAGTTATCTTCGGAATATTATCTACGGAAATAATTCCGTAGATAACGTTATCTACGGAAAATTCCGTAGATAACATTATCTACGACCATTTTATCTACGGATCTTTTTCCGTAGATAATCCGTAGATAATTGACATTTATCTACGGATTTTTATGTTTATCTACGAATTTTTCCGTAGATAATCTTGATTTTTCTTGTAGTGTTATTAAGGATATTCAAATGCCATCATACATGATATCATATTCAATGGCAGCTTATTTTGATCGTCAACTGAACATACTATAGTTGAAACCAAGAAATTAAAATGCATCATTTCAAAGTGATGGTGTTTGTATTCATTATAGCTTATTGTTCAATGTGTTTATGTTTTATGTTAAGTACGTCTTAATGTGTTTTTTGTTCTGAATGTATTCACACAAAGATATGTTTCTGTTTCAAATATTTGTTGTAATCAATTGGTGATTGACAATGTATGTGGTTTATATGTTTCAATAAACATGAGTTGATTTTTATGGATACTTTGTAATTGTGTATATTAGTGATGGAACTAGGTGAGGAGATTGATGATTCCTTCACTTGCTCCATGCTTAGGACCGAAATGCACTTGAGGTTGACACTTGAAGATCTCTGAAACTCCATTGAAGAACCTTCAAAGGAGTAGAAGTCTTGCTAGAGGTTCGGTTACTTCTCTTGGATGGAGAAACTTGAAGAACCTAGGCTTAGGTTTGAAGAACTTTGGAGGATTTCTTAGAGTAGAAAGTCCCCACGGTTTTGAGACTCTTGAGTTGAGAGAAAATATGAAGATTGATTCTCATTTATGTCAAAAGTGACTACAAAGGAGGTATTTGCAAATATATAGAAAAAAGGTAGCTTCTAGGAGAAGCTAACCTTAACCATGGTTCACTAGGAACCATGGTAAGGTTTACTTAACTCCCTACGGTTTAGCAAGCTTGCAAGGGAAGCTAACCTTGACCATGGTTCACTTAAGAACCATGGTAAGGTAAGCTTACCTTACTTGAGTTTAGAAGCTTGCAAGGCAAGCTTCAAAACTCAAGAAGAACAACTAGAAATTTCGGCCAAGGAGACTTAAGAGAGCTAGGCGGCCTTGAACACATTTTGCTCCTTGAATTAATTTGAAAAACCTTGATTTGGTTTAGTTAGGTTCATCATATGATGATGAGACCTAGCTAAATCAAATCTATGAAAAATTAGGAGCAAAATGAGTCCAATATGCAAAATTTAGCCTAGGCCCAACTCATACCCAATTTCTAGTCACACCTCAAGCATTGCTAAATGTCACCCCCTTTTTCCTACTGAAAAAATATAAAATGAATGTATCATCTAGGGAGGTTAAATGGAGTTAAACTCTCCAAGTAACCTACCTTAAAAACAATATACAATCACTAGGAAAAAGCAAATAAAGTGCCTTACAATACAAAGGCAAAAATAACTTATACAAAAGACTATGCATGAACTGTACAATATAAACAAGTAGAACTAAGGCCTTCTCTTCATGATAGAGCATTCAAAGTGAAGATTACCTTGGGCTTAACAAGCCCATTAGTCTTCTCAAGATCTAGCTCTTCCTGTATCCTCCTAGCCATAGCTCTGGGCACTGGGCCCTTGGCCCATGGTCTATCAATTTGTCCTTATTGTTTAAAAGCAACGACTAAGATATCACTAAGAAAATCAACGGGTGAGATCTCACTGGTTGCTCAACGTCATTGTTCACGCATCAAGCTTCTTGCAGGATGTATTTAGATGTTGTATAAAAAGCAACAGTTAAGATCTCACCACAAAATCAATGACTAAGATTTGACCCACAAAATCAACGAGTGAGATCACATCGATTGGTCATCATCATTGTTCACACGTCAGGCTTGTTGTAGGAAGTATGTCCACAAATACGTCGATGGATTGATAACATTTCACTAGATAAATGGAGCATTGCAAATGACGAGCACGATCGCAGGTACGGTCACATTACAACAAACTTGTCAAAGGTCGTAAATAAGATATTAAAAGGGGCTCAAAATTTGCCTATCAGTGTTCCAGTTAAGTGCACATGTTCTAGACTAGTAGAGTACTTCTATCAAAGACGTGATGAAGCAGTGGCAGCGTGTGAAAGAGGAGAACAATACTATCTTAAGTTAATGGAGACATTGCAAAAAAATTAAGAAGATGCAACCTCTCATATTGTTCGTAGATTTGATTATGAAGTCACAAGACTTGAGGTTAAAGAAACATTCAATCCACTAACTCAACGAGGTGGACAAACTTGGATAGTAATGCTTAATGATCGAACTTGTGAATGTGATGTTTTCCAAGCATACAAATATTCTTGTTCACATGCCATCATTGCTTGTGGATATGTACGTGTCAATTCGTACATTTATGTTGATCCAGCTTATTCACACCAATACATAGCTCAACTCTATTTAAGACAATGATATCCTATTGTTATGTTATTATTATTATTTTTAATTGGTAAAGAAACTATATTAAAACTTAGAATAAAGGGTACATCACACGTACCTTATTTATGTTTATATTATTTAATTTTTGGTAAATAAATGATGTTAGATATTTTATTTACCTGCTTATATATATACCTAATTAATAACTTCAAATTTTTATGTAGTTGGCAATGTTATTAGAATTTCAATGACTATATATATATATGTGTCATTAGAATTTTTTATTAAAATTGTGTTATCATGTAAAATAGAGTAAATTTAATTTGTATATAATTAGTTTATCACCAATAATATATTTTTATAATTAATTAATTTTAATTCATCAAAATTACAATTATAACATTATGCATTAGAGTATATGACTCTTTACATACTATCTTATTTCTCCGCCAACCAATCACTGGGTTCATTATTAGAACATTTAAAACAAAAAAAATGATATTTACACCCGAAAATTCATTCGAAATCATCTTCCGACCGATTAAAAAACTTTTTTTAATTAAAAAATTATAAATATGAATCATAATTAATTCGAAAAAATTTCCATTTAAAATTTTGGGCGCCTAACATTTCTCTTTAAAACCTGCTAAAAGCTTTTCTTGTCTCGTGATTGTGTCATAAAATGGAGTAAAGGTAGAGCCTTCGAAAATTTGGTTGAATGATCATCCGAAAATTAAAATATTAATAATTTTTTAATAAATTTGTTATAAAATAATTATTTAATTTAATATTTATAATTTAAATTGTTATTTTATTTATTTGGACAGAATTTCGGATAATCATTTTGGACTATCAATCATTTTTCCATAAAATGCTAAAGTTACTCAGATGAATAATTACAAATCTGTCGATAACAAAAGAACCCCTAGAGCATGACAGCTACCACCACCCTATCACATCAACTAATGATATGATTAACATTTAAAAAATTACTCATCTTATGAAGTATTTTTTTTTTTTTTTTTTAAGTTGAATTGTACTAAAATCCTAATTGTAAAATAGTATAAATTAAAAGTCTAGTAATTGTCCTTAGATGCGGATTCATTCAAATATATCTAATCTACCCAATTTATCATTCAAAATATTTAAGAAAAATGATAGATAGTTCAAAAAGATTATCCAAAAATTTATCCGAACGTATAAAAAAATAATTTAAATTATAAAATATTGAATTAAATAATTATTTTATAATAAATTTATTAAAAAATATTAATATTTTAAAATTTAGAAGATGATTCGGATAAATTTTGGGAAACTCAATATTTAATGAAAGTTATATTAGAGATGTTACAACATAATTAAAATAATATATACAAATAAAAAAAATTCCCATCCCGTGAGCTAACTTTTAAAATTAAAACTAAAAACAGCATAAAATATGAAAATATAATTTTTTTTGTTGAAATAAAGCATCTTCTTATTTTTTTAATGATCTTCAAACAAACAAAAATATTTATGCCTACATTTAAATAGCAGAAAATAAAAGGAAAACGACTTGAAATAAATGTCCTTAATTAAGATTATTTTCTAAAACAAAGTTTAAAAAAGGCTTTGTAGCTAATATTGTAAAGAAACTAAAGCAAGTCCGTCCTGAATTCAAAGATCATACTTGGTGTAGTACCAACTCTTGTAATTCAATTTCATGTTTCTTCAGCGTTTTCGACGTGCTTAATCGCTTTTTGATGTCCACCCCAAGTCCGTATCCTATCTTCGGCAAGGGAGGCCTGCGATTTTAATTTGTGTTAGTCGATCGCCACTTAATTATTCCAATGGCTCGAAACCAAACATTGACTTGAACTTGCAATTGCATATTAATATATAAACACTGAATATGGTAATATATCTCACCTCTTTGTTCCAGTTAGTTTTGTAAATTATCACCAAAAGAACAAACGTTTGCAGCACAGTCCCTGACATCATTCCTAACCAGATTCCCTGAAATATATCCAACAATTAATAACAATAAATAACTTTTTAACATGTTAGAATTTACTTCATCTTTTGACCCAAGAAAAAGATTTTACTTGAGTCACATTAAAAGAAAAGTTATGGAGAATTTGAAGGTATGGAGAAGGGTTTAATTACCTTGACTCCCCAGTCAAGCTTGTAACCCAATAAAAGGCCCACAGGAATTCCGAAAAGGTAGTAGCATGCAATGTTTACATACGCAACAATAGCCTGCCATCCCGCACCAATGGCAACTCCTGCACAAAATGCCACATATATATAAAATAAAATGATACGAATGTGTGAGATGACTTGAGGATGTTTAGTTGTTACCTACCTGAAAGAACAGGTTGAATGTTATTAATCACAATGCAACATGACAAAAATGGTGTCAGCTCCTTCACTAGATCTTGCACTTTGGTGTCATTTGAAAACAGGGAAGGGTATTCATCCCTCCAGATGAACAGAACCAGAGCCAGTACAAGCCCGATCAAAATCGAAGTAATCGTCGCAACTACTAGAGAAAATAATGCTCTTCTTGGGTGACGTGCTCCTAGTTCGTTCGATATTCTCACACTGCCATTTTTCATTCAAACTTTACATATATATAAAACAATATATTTATCATCCTATTACAATTTTTTTTTAATTTCATATCGTCTATCTTATTACATATTTTTATCATATCTTTTCTATAAAATATTGTATCAATTAAAGAAGAGTGGTAACGAATAACGATACACATTTTTTAACACACTAAAGTTTATTGAACCCTAACAAAATCATGTATAAAACTCATGAAATAAACAATATTTTATAATTTCTAATGAACTTAAACCAATATTGATAACATTAAATGTTTATAGAATGTGTTACCAAAAATTTTGTACGTTAAATACACAATAATATTTTTCTTTTGCACAAAGTAAGTAGGCGGAAGCAAACCTTGTAGCGGCGTTCATCCCAAAAGATACCATGATGGTCCAGCCCAATATATTCATGCTGCGAATTAAAAGAAAAAATTATGATTAGGTGTTTTTCATACTGCTTTCTTCTCATCAGTCGTATTTTTTTTTTTTCCTTTTCAGCTAAACAAAATTTTCATTAAAATTTAGTGAGAGCACAAGAGAAAAGAGAATAGCATAAGCGACAAAGGCAGCGCAAAGCGAATAAAACCAATGGTGAAAGAGGCAAAAGAATAATTAACCAAGTTACAGTACTAAAAGAATATTTTTTGCACACTTCTCGGTAGTGGATCTGCCACTACTCTATCTTGGATAATATTATATTTACCAAAAGTAAGATAAGGCGAAATTGGGCAATTATTCAATTTTGGAGGCTGAACTATTGATTTAAAAAAAAAAAATGTGTCACGCTCTTGAACTCTTGAATAAAAAATACTCTAACCCATGTTCAAGAACTTAAGAGAACACAACAGATATTGTACACAAAGTAACTATTTGTTATGGATCACTCACCAGATAGAGAAGGCGTCCACGGAGATTTCTGCATTCTTGAGGTATCCAGCGAACAAAATTAGAGCCATAAAATACCATGTTTCCAGGCTGCGCACATCATGAATATAATGAGATAAAAATATACATAACAAACGTGTTACATCAAATTAAATATTATTGTCTTTTAAGATTAAAAAAAATATAAAAATATAAAAAATATAAAAATGGATAAAAATATACTTTACTTAGAGCATCTCCGTTTGAAAGATAATATATTTTTTTTGATAAGAAAGAACATATAAGAAATATCTCTTTAATTATTATAATAAAGTATTTTGTATGATTATGCAATAGGGTTAGTGACCAGAGCATGACAGCGGAGGCCATAGAGAGGCGAAAGAATCCCCAAAGATTGTGAAACGCTTCCCATGAAAAGCCACTCCAGGCGCGGCCGCAACTGCCGCTGAAGACATAGGCGAGCTGAGCCACCACGACGAACCACCACGTGCCGTTGAGCACCACGGCGGCACCCACGAGGCCCCAGTCCAGCTTGACCATGAGGAGCCAGCACAGGACGGGGTGCAGCACCATGGCCACCCCGGATATGAGCGCGATGACCATCACCTTGCTCTGCGCCTGCAGGAACTTGGTCACCGGAAAGTTGAGCGCGTACGCAAACAGCTGCGGAATCATCCAAATGGCGAAGGTTCCCGCAGCCTGCGATATGTTGGGGTCTTGGCCTATCAGCAACAGAATGGGTGCTGCGAAGATGTACAAGAAGCAGAGAACAGAAGCCATGCCCATGAGCAGCACCCATGATCTTTGCATGTACACCCCCAGCATGTCCATCTTCCCTGCCCCCACCGCTTGCCCACACAGCGTCTCCAACGCGCTTCCCATCCCAAGCATTACGCCGTAGGAGAACCCCGCGATCAGGGAGTTTTCCACCGACACTGCCGCCAGCTCCATGGTGCCCACGTGCCCCGCGAAGATTTGAGTGAAGGCGCCCAGCGAGTACTTTGACACGAACGAGAAGATGGCTGGCCCCGCCAGGTACCACAGCTTCTTCGACTCCGCCGTTAATTCCCTGCACAAGTCTCCCACTCCGCTGATTGGAGCGATGTCACGGCTGCCCGCGCTGAAAACTGCCTTCGATTCCGGCTGCCCATCCAGTAGTGGCTGCCTGGAGTTGCCATCGGAGTGTTCCATCGAGAGAGAGTGAGAGTTAGGTGAAATGGAAAATTACAAATTTAAGATAGCCACAACGACCACTGTCACGGATCATGATCTCTATAAATATCACCTTATTCTCAATTATGGACACTTTAACATTATATTATAATTTATAATTGAAAATTATAATAAAGTATTTTATCATATAAATTATATTTTGAAATTTGTTTTTTTGATTTGTGCCCAAGAGTGTGGGAATCTTGGAACTCGAACGGCCTGATCCGCTTGCACACGTAAAATGTTAATTTTGAAAATGGAACAGATGCAGAACGGGCCGTTCTCAAGTTATGCGTTAATGCATAACTCTAGAATGGCTCGTTCTGCAACCGTTCCATCTTCAAAATTAACATTCTACGTGTGCAAGCAGAACGGGCCATTCTGCTTCTAGAACGGGCTGTTTTGCTTCTATAATGGGCGTTCTGCTTCTCGAACGGGCTATTCTAGTTTCAAGATTCGTGCAAACTGTTCCACCAACCAAAAATAAAATAAAATTAAAATCTACTCGATTCGATTATCTGGAACTGAATTCTAAATATGAACGGTGAATAGTGCAAAACGTAACATGTGCGTTTCTGGTAAAAAAAATTTCAAAAAAATTCTACTTCCGTAAAAAATTCAACATTGAAATTTCGTCATTGAATCTGTGTTTAATTGATTAAGCTTGATATGACATGACTGTGTATTTCTTTACTGTTCTGTTTTTTTTTTCTTTCCTCCGTTTCTTTTCAACCAAAAAGAAAAAACTAATCCAGTTTTTTAATTTGTCACATGTCTCACTCATTTCTTCAGGGTCAAACGTACCCTATTATGGGAGTGAATGATGATGCTGCTGCCCACCAAGGACAATTATTAAATCTGTTGCCTGTCCTTTAATAGTATTGTTCTACACATATTATGTTTCTTTATCAGGTTTGATTTCCGTTTGTTATGGTTTTGTCTTTGTGCCTATTGAGAGAAAAATATAGGTTTTAGACTAATTTTTATCTTTTTTATTTTGTTAAACTAGGTTCGGTCTTGGTTAATTAATTGGTAGCAAATTCATTAGGAACTCATAAAGAGTGATTCTTATACTCATGGTTGGTGTTCCTTCCATCATATATCCTCAAAGTGAAAATTTTCATAGTGCATGAAAACTTTGTATTCTGAGTAAAAAAAAAACAAAAATAAAGAAACTTTGTATTCAGGTTTCAAAACCGTAAAAAATGTACTTTTGAAAGTTAATTTATCCCCAGTAGTTTTACGACATTAGTAGTCATTATTATTTTATGCATTAAAGATTAGAATATTTTAATTGCACACATAAATTTGAATCATGAATGTACTTTTGAAAGTTAACATATATATATCACCAGCAGCCTTACGAAATTAGTATTATATTGGCTTAAGATAAAAATAATACAAGTCACGCTAGGTAGATTCCAAATGAATTCAACAAATTTCAAAATTCATATACTAAAAACAAAAACAGAAACAAATTGCAGAGTAAAAGTAATTATTTTATGCATGAAATGTTAGAATATATCAATTGCACACATAAATATGAAGCATGAATGTAGTTTTAAAAATTATCACCAGCGTGGAGCAGCCTTACAACGGTAGTAATATACTGACTTAAGATTGAAAATACTGACGCTAGATTACAAACTATGTATTCAACAAATTACATATTTAATATATTCAAGTCATTATTTTATGATGTTAGAATATATTGCAATTTTTATTTACAGATTAATTTACACACACTTATTTTTAGTTTGAATAAGTTAACAAGTAATGTTCAAATGTATTTTTTTTGAAAAAAATTATAGTGATAACTTATTAATTTACCCCTTCTTAAAAAAACTTTAATTAACAAATCTCGTAAAACGTTTGTTAACTTATACCTATACTTATTTTTTAACTAATGTAAGCTAACAAGTTATTGTGTACTTAAAAAAAATTGTAATTATAAATTACTAATTTACTCTTTAATAATTGGATGTAATATAATAAATTTTTATAAAGAGAGAAGAGAGATCCACTTATTTCAAGAGTAAGTCTATCTAGATTTATTTCATTCAATAATTCATGTTCTATATTAAATTTTAATTATCTAATTATTGAATTAAAAGTTTTAATACATAGATTAAATCTGTAAATTTTTTTAAAAATTGAAAATTATTTAATATTTTATTTTATTAATTTAAATTTACATATAAAATATAATTCTTTTTAAAGTTTAATTACTCTTTGATTTTATGGTTCGATAAATTTTACTAGGGATGTATAAGCAGGTACGGGTAATCCGCGAACCCAAACTGACTCAAACCAATCCAATGAGTTCGGATCAAATTTTTTTTCAGTGCTTAGATCAGACCCAACCCAACCCGATCAAAATTCAGTACTGTACGGGTTGAATAACGAGTTTTGTGTTTTCAACCGTTATTGACCCGAACCAACCTGGTCATATATAATAATAATAATAATACTTGAATGATCATTTACTTAGGATAATACTCACTGTCACTCTTATTTAGTAATAAGTTTTGCGTTTTAGGTTGATAGCATTGTAACAATATAGTATATTTATTTTAAATTTTATTTTATATTAATTAATGTTGGATTTTTGAGTTGATAATAATGTAACAAATTAATATATTTATTTTAGAACTTAATTTGCATCATTGTTTGCTTTATAGGTTGATAACATAGAATTTGCAACAATGTATCAAATGATTTACATCTATTTTGAAATATTTAAATTTTTATAATAAATAAATAAATATAATTATGTTGATCCAATTAACCCAACCTAATCCAACCTGTTTGTGATTGGGTTGAGTTAGATTAGGTTTAAAAAAAAATTACACAAATTCAACTCAACCAAACTCATTAAATTTTGATCAGATCGAGTAATAGGTTTATTCAAATCCAATCCAACTCAACACACTTACATTCCTAAATTTTATTTTTTAATCTGTATAATAAAAAATATTTCATTTTAGATCCTATACATGCTATTTTTATTGTCTATTTTTATAAAATATTAAAAGATAATTTTGTTATAATTATAAAATTTTTCAAAATAAAAACAATATCTATAAAAACTAAAATAAAATGTTTTAATTACGATAACTAAAAATAAATATCATAAAACCTTTTTAATATGTGTCTTTTTATTTCTACAAATTGAATAAAAGAAATTAAAACAAATTTTAATCATCTTTCCTAGACGATTTAGAAAAGGCTAGAGTCCAAAGTATAATTTTTGTTCAGTGCAATAAACTTGGTTGTTGAATGCGGAAACACCCGACAGGGCACAGGGCAGAGACAAGAAAGAAGAGCGG